ACACGTAGTGATTATCCTGAGGTTATATTTGTGTATTTTCTTTATGCTTTAATGCTTTGTATTTCACTTATTGAATGATTGAATGCATCTAGCAAAGGTAAGGTATTTTGTATAACTATGAGTTCTTTCTATGACACAAATGCCCGTTTGTTCAAGGCAAGTACCCCGGTTGGATCTTCATGACAACATTTCAATCTTCACCATTATTGTGTTTTATTTAAAGAATGAAACATTAATGCCATGGTTGGATACCTTGTAGAAACACTTGCTTGTTTGTGGATGGGTTGAGTCTCGGCACAGACAATTTTTGTAAACTTCTAGAAAGGCATCGAAACCATGTGCTTAATTCACACAGTCTATCTTTATCTTCCGATTAACTTGTTGTTGACACGGGAGTTAATTGAGTTATAAAACACAAGTATAATAAACCGGAAGATTAACTATATGCTCTGATCCTCGAGCTAAAGGGTAGCTGTTACATTTTGTCTAGAAAAATCCATTGGAAAGAATCTTATATTCTGTCCATAAAATCCCCTAACTTCAAACTCTCAAGGTTTCTAGTTACTTGGTCTTTATCACTGCTTACTTCAAAAACACTAATCATAGTTCATTGTGGATTCGACTCCGAATTTAACCAGATTATTATTACAGCTTGACCGCCTATACTTAGGTGTAAACATTTTGGATCAAGTCACCTATGTTAATAAAGGATGTAAAGACCGTCATACTTCGAAAATAGTAGTTTTATTGGGCCGGTTGTATTTGAGATATTGTCTCAAGACCGTATTTGTTTTGTGGCCACGTTGAGTTTTTTGTTTGATTAGCTCGAGAGTCATTTTTCAATATATATATATATATATTATTTTATTTTATTTTTAAAATGACTACTATTAATGTCACCCAAATTGGAGAATGTTGGAATTTTTTCATATTGAACTTCCATTAATTGATAATTAATTTTTGGTTTGTGAAAAAACGGGCTGAATTTATGGTCTAATGAGATGAACCAAATATTGTTAAGTGATCTATTTTTATGAGCTTATGTACATTTTTTTAATTGATGTGGTAGAAGCGATTAAAGTGTAGACCTCAATTTAATTGTGGCCAGTAATGAGAGAGTCCATTAGATTCATTATAAATAGCAATCTAGGTCCCCTCTCCACTTCATAACCTAATTTTGCTTGTTCCATTGAGAGCCGCCTATTACTTTGAAGAAGGAGAGGAAGACATTGCTCTTCCGCGAAAGAAACTCAAAGATCGACTATCATGGCTTACACATGTATGTTCTAAATCTTGTAATTTATATGTTGTGTATTGTTTTGTAGCCCGGTGAGCTGTTGGGCCACCCATTTGGCCTTTGGCCTATTTCTACTTTTTTTTGCTGCTATTTTTTTCCTTAGATAAATGACCAGTGATTTATATACTGATAAAATACTTGGAAAAATCCAGTGTTATCTAAGTGAATTACTCAAAGTACACTTCAAAATTGATATTTTCTAATTAATGAATTATAAAAATTTCTAATTGACTATATACAAATTACAAATCCTAAATTTTGTCCATGAAATTCTAATTTAATCTAATCGAAAGTAGTTTTTGGAATAGTAATATTGTAGAAAAACCTAAAAAATATTGTGTGACGCCTCAAAATTCGGGTGTCCGTAATTACCCTGTTGATCACACATCAACTCACGGAATACCAGTGAATACCGTGTAACTTGATACCACGTTGTTATGCCCCGTTAACCAGGATTCATAACTTAACAAAAATCGGCAAAATCTCTTTTGCACGGGGAGCTCTACCCAAAACACAATTTGTGCAACAAACAACATTTAACTACACAAAATCCATTCATCCATATTGAATACTACCATGATCACCATCACTATGTACATTCATTCATAAAAGAATAAATGTATCAAAAGAGTCTCATATATATACCTTTTTAATTAAAACAAGTTTTTGTTTACAAAAACTATATAAAACTAAAAGTAAACAAATACAAAGGACTACAACATCAAAATAAAAGCCACAGTCCAACTTTGACACGCAGGAGGGCCTTCGGTGAAAGCCTTTGCGATACTTGAAAAGTGTTCCAATAAATGGTGAGTCAACGCTCAATAGGATAGTTCCTGTAGAGAATACCTTCCAACCCAAATGCATATGAAATGTCACATGCAACAATCATTTCATGCATTCATTCAAATATATGTATTATGAAAAAATGCTATAAATTACGCCATGCCATGAGATTCGCGCAAGCAATACCAACACTGAGCTCTATCCCGAGCTCCCACAACACATGCAATGTCATGTGTATATATCTGGACATTTCAAGCCCCTATCGTTGGTGTTATGTACACTCAATAACTAATTAATTCAGGATAGCTCACATGCGACTCCATTTTTGCTGTTACATTTTTTTGGAATTACATCGCCGAAAAGTGTATAAACCAAGTAACAGGGTCTGACACTCGAGGGAGAATCTTATCCTTCTTACTACACTCTGACATGTTTATCTATTTAATTTTTTGTGCTACTCAGCCGAACCTTAGTGCGACTTTCCTGAGCCCCCGATCAACCACCTACGTGGTGATTGATTTCATACCATGCACACACTCCCACCCATGTCAATGCCGATGAATATAGTGTGACTCTTGCATAATGCAATGCAATGTGCAATTTTCTTCGGTGCCATTTATAATGTCAATTATATAATGAATACAAAATAATGATATTTTCAACACAATCCTAAGCATGTTATGTAAGATAATCAACTTAACTACATACTTGTATTCGCCTAGGCATTTAAACAAATACCTAGAAGACATATCAATTTACACAACTAGCATGTTCGTTACTTCCAACATGGCAACATGTTTATTAATTCTATAAACATAAGCACAAATCCACCACACTAATCATATGCTAAATTATCATTTAACATACATATCATTTCATAATCACATAATAAGCTATTAATTTTATTAAACTTGATATGCCATTAAAACATTAAATCATGCTAATGTACAATTAATATGATTTAAACCACTAATATTAACTTATACCAAGTTAATCATAATAGGATTTGACTAATTACAATGTTAATTATATATCATATATTTGACCCACAAGTTATACTAGCCAAGACCTAATATGTGATATACGCCATTAGCTTACCCATTTCATATGCCATCTTTTAAGTTGAAATTATATCTAAATAGGAGAAACTCTACCTTCGTAGCGTGAGCCTACATAGTAGAACTCTAAAGAAAACTCGAATTTAGCTTCTTAAGTCTTAGTCCTAGACTATTCTCTTTGATATTTTTCGAGAAAGGCGTGATCTTTGATATGATTGCGTAACTCGTGTTATGTAAAACAACTTTAACTCTTGGCCCGAAATGATCAAACAGTTTGATCTTTGTAGATCTAAGGAACAAAATGAATACACTAATTTTTTTTGCCTTTTCTTTTATTTTTCTCTCTTTTATATCTCTCTGTCTCGTTGAACGTTGGAGTGCAGAATAAGTGGAAGACAGTGTTAAGTTTAGTATATTTTTATTGAACTAACGTTAAATTATTTTTTGGGTCCTGTAAATAAAATCTAATTGCAATTACTTTTGTCACGCGACACCAAATTACTTTGTAACACAAGAAAAATTTGACTGTTTCAGAATTTCAAAAAAATTGATTAGGTAGTTAGATTTTGCGAGACAAATCTAACGGTGAGGTTCATTTCTTCATATGAATTATATAAAAATTCACATTTTTGACCTGTGCTTGAACAACTAATTATTATTTTATCCCTCTAATTAAGATTTTAATTATTTTTTTTTCTTGGGTTTTATATACTATGCTACCACCTTTTAAACATTTGGGGAAAAAAAAAGAAGGGAAAAACCAAAAGGAAGGAGAAGATTGAAATGGAGATGAAATTGAAACCAATGAAGATAAATATCAAGGCAAATTAAACCATAAGGACTGCAAACTCAATTAAGATAGCTCCCAGTGGTTTTTTTTTTTGGTTCAATGATCAAGGGTGTTCGAACTACCTTACGCATATTTTGACTAATTTCTTCTCCGATTTAGTCAAAAATAGGTTATCCACACTAAAATTAAAATATTCTTTAAAAATCCAAAAATCTTATCCAGTAGTCCACCCTATCCAATAGCCCACCTTTGTCGGTAGCTAGATGGCCGAAATTTTTGGCCTAGCTTGTCGGTGTGAATGAGTTCTCTCCATTCTTGACTTTTTGGCCAGAAACTCTCTAGAAATAGGAAACTTAGTTAAGGCCAAAAACATGCTCCGAAATTAGTGAAGAAGAAACAAAGAGAGAGATCTCATTATGAGAGAGTTCTTGTATTTATTTCTAGACAATATATAAAAATTTTCTCTTATGTTTATATCTTGTTTGTGATATATTTTCGGCCTTGATTTATCATCATTCTTGAGGGATAAATATCTCATAATCTAGCCCCAAATAGTTATCAAAATTCGAACTCAAAAAATTTAAGTTTATAATTCGTCTCTGTTGTCAGTTGAACTACTCTAGCTTGCCTGAGTTCATAGCTCACAGTGGTTGAATTCTGCATAACAATCCTCCTCAGGAAGGGATTAGAGGGTTATAATTGTTAGTTAACACCCTTTGCAAGTGTTATTTATAATAAGAAAAGTCGGGGCTGAGCTAAGCTATGGCGATACAAAGTTCTAAAACGTCATATTCTCCATGTACTGTTCGGTCTCACAAACTTAACCCAACATAATCTAGATTTCACTGCTATGATCCTGAGGGAAAACCTTAATTTACAACATATTAGAATGTCATAATAGAGAATCCATTATAATGTTATAACACAAGTAATCTCCAGCATTTGAAATGTGTAACAACTTCTTATATCTGACTGTACATTAATTTTCTGTACAGTATATTTGGATCTATTTTGTACCAATCCATTGTCTATCGATGAATATTTGTATGCGATCAGAGGTATGTGGATATTATGAATTTCTCTTCTTTTTTCCTGCAAGAATTGGTTGAATTTGCAGTCTCCTACTGAAAGCCTCGTTGAAAAGAAAACGAGTCTGGAATGCTGAAATGATTGGGAGCCATGCCAAAGAAGCAATGGGTGCAAAGAGAGCAACACCCATTCCATAGTCGTAAGCTTGCGCAAAGACTCGGGTGAAATGCCACAACCCAGTAGCCTCAATCTTAGGCCTCATAGCTTGTGCAACCTGAACAAACCCAAAAATATTAGTGCAATAGAGTGCAAAAACTAGACATGCCTTGTTTTTTTTTTTTTTTTTTCTTTTAGGATGCAAAGAATTAACTCCAATTAAGCTTACCAATATCAAGCCCCAGCCGGTTGGAAAAAATCCCAGACAGCACACTATCAAATCCCTCAAAGATAGATCACAAATAATGGATAAAATTATTATTGTAGCTACAACACCCAAGAAAAGAAATGCTTTAAACAGCCTGAACGCTAGGTGATAATTTGCACTGAGATATCGCCTTCCCAGATTCACTGCCTGTGTAGCAATTAGAATAATTCAGACTATTGAGACAATCTTATACCATTTGAGGAGGGGTACAAGTAAAGTATTAAGGACATAAGAGTAAATTCTGATAAATTAATTGGTTTTGCATCCTTTTAGCTTGAAAGTTCAAAAGAAATAAAGTAAAGGTCATCTAGGTATTAGAACTTGAAGGTTGGTTTCTAAAAGTTTTCTTTTGATAATAAGACATACCGAGGAAGAAAGAATATCTAATAATTGTCAACAAGGAAAAAAATTATTTCAATAGAATGGAGAAAGAAGGAAGTATTTATAGATTTAGTCTTACGGGCGTTACCTTTTCATTTTCCTCATACTTTTCCTTCTGATTCATCTCAACAAAACTCTACATAACTGGTTTTAACCTTACTACGTGTAGTCAGACATTTGGGCATTCTCCAGTCTGCAGCCATATCCTTGGTATATTCCAGACATTAATCTACCTTTTCACCTTCTAAACCCATTTTTAATACTTCTAGGTTGTGAGGTTTGATTTCGATGTCTATGCAAGTTTGAAATAGGAATCACAAGATATTGTGAATGAAAAGTGATTGTAGTTGCTGGATATAATGTCTTCTTCGTAGCTACACCTGGCATTAGTCCTGTTCACTACTTATATGGCCATAATTTATTTTCTAATTAGGTAATAGAGGGTCTGGCCAGATTTCCCTTAAACACCTGAAAACATGGAAAATGAGTGTATGAATCAATAAACATTACTAACAGAGTATCAATGACTGCATGGCCTTGGATGTACTATCCAATATGACGTCTATTAGCACCCCATGCATCATAAATGAATTTTCTTGGATGATTTAACTGTCGTTTGGGCACTTTTCAGTTGAGTTGCCAATAAACTCATGGCAATTTAATCACTGAAAGATCCATGCTAACATCAAGCAATATTTTTGATAACATAATAGATGTTGAGCAGGTAAAATAGGCATGTAAACATATAATCCAATAAAAAAAGGTTGAGTAGGAGAATACCTTGACCAACAGGAAGATCATCACAATGACAACCCATGAGAGCACGTAAACTATAAAATTCTTGTTTTGCCCAGATATATCAAGGTGATACACCAGACCATACTGGTAAATGAAAAATCGCAAAGAAAGAATTATCTCTATTAATCGAGAACTCAGCCCTGAGTGACGAAGATGGGCTTGCTCATCGTTCCACCAAGACCGCCAGCTCTTATCTTGTTGAATTCCTATACCACCCTGCTGCTTGATCCACTTGTTCCAATTTTTCCAGTCATCCACTATCTTGCCCCAGTTGAATCCAGAAGGATTAAAGAGAAATGGTGCAAACAACCAAGTCAATGACATGAACCAGATAGCATATGTTATCAAGACATACGCCATGCTGCTTTGGTAGGAACGCCTAAACAAATCATAAACAATCAACAGGAGTAGTATTTCAAATCCTTTCACAAAATGACTACGTGAATATAGTCTGTAATTTTCGGTGAAGCTGGCGTGAAACACCACAACCTTACGTCCCGTGGGCCTGTATTGGGCACCCCCATGAAGAATTGTTCGGCCATAATAGTGAGATTTTGTTCCAAGGGAAAACGTGAAGAAAACAGCAGCCAGTTGAAATTGCATGAGAACAAAATCTTTAAGAGCAGTAAGAAATCCTCTTTCAAGTCCAATCTCCATCACCATTGGTAAGCCTGTCAAGAGTCCAAGCTGGATAAATGACTGGGAGGCCAGAGCTGTCTCCAAGGACTGTATGTTTTGTATTCTAGCCTCGAGAACGAGTGCTTTTTCTAAGCCACTAAGAACCAGGTAAAGCTGCCCGTAAAGGAACACATAAACTCCAATCACCGATATCTGCAGGGTTTCAATTTGAATGTAATCAAACTTATATAGCAAAATTTCAGCTGATTAATATATTAAATGATAAGGTCAATGTGAAAAATAACTAAATATCAGAGAATATAAAAAATCAGCACTCTTTCCTTCGTGGTCAGAAGGAAGCAGCACTTTAGTGTAATGCTTTCAAGGACATTATCTGGTTGAATGTGTTTTTATTCTACCATTAATATGTTAAAAGCTATAATGAACCCGGTCCGAGTTGGTATAGGAATGTGGAAGTGCAAGGGTCAAATAAATGAATTTATAACACTTCTACAACAACAAAACAAGATAATTTCATGATACAAAGAAATTACCAGGCTATTAAAGTAGAATCCAATGGTTGTGAAGTAACAAGAAAACATCCGGAAGAAATCAAACCGACGACCAAGTCGATAAATGTCACGGCTTAGAGTTTGCTCACTGTTTCCATTTGCTACTTTGGCTTCAAACTTGGAAATTGAATTAAGGCCTACATCACGACCTTTGCCAACTTGCATATACTCATGGTAAGTAACATATCCCCGTCGTAGTGTAGTATTAAATCCTATATTGTATCAAATAATTGTAACGTAAATTAAAGTAAGACAATAATGTTCCAAACAACAAACCGAATATATAGCTTCTACCTGCAAAAACATCCTCACTTAAGTTAATTGTCTTTGATGCTTTGCTTATGCCACCTCTTGTTAAGTGAAATACCCTATCGAATAAATCTGGATGTCCATAATGAAATCTGACCCTGTGTAGCAAAATTTATGATGAAAGAAAAATGAGAATGACTAAGCATAAGTGAATGGTTGATTTCAGTGGACTTGTGAAACAGTGCAACCAAATGCTTTAATGCAGCAAGTGAACTGAACAAAGACTGGATTTGCCAATATAATTTTACTGGAAGTTTATGAAACTAGCATGAGGATATCAAGCATGCAAAAACAAGCTACTAGTTACCTGAGTGGATTTGCAAGAAGTCTTTGACCAATGGTGACAAAACTGGTCTCTTGATACGACATGAACCATGCTAAAGAAGAAACACTGCAATTAAAGAGACAACAGAAGATTCTTTGCATGTGAGTTTAAAATAACAGATCAAATTTACGTCACTCAACTACCCAAGTATTTATGTCATGATAAACTCAACTCATGACTTAAGCAAAACCTTGTTCCTCGGCTACATAAATCTTATTCTGTCATTGTGTTCTAATGGACCACTTTTTGTTTAACCGCTAGTTATCACATCTTCAAAGTTAATTTCAGTTTACCCCTACCTCTCACATTACCATCATAAAAGGAGCTTGTATTCCACATGGAAAGCATATGGCCATCCAAGATTGGTTTATATAATTAAAGGGCCGTGCTACTCATTACCAATAGATTTTGGGTTGGATGCCTCAACATATCCCAGTATTATACTTTGGTTAGTGAGCAAAGTATCTAAACCTCAACATGGTATTAGATCGCGACATTGTGTGTTTAGTGACCAAAGAATGTAAACCATTGAATTTCCTAATTTGTTTATCTGTTTGTCTATCTTAGTTTGGTTTGTTACCCTGCGTGCAAGGAAATAATAGACTTTAATGTAGAGTACATCGAAGATATCAAAGAATGCGTAGACAGTAGCCCAATAAACAGTGGTAGGTGAGGTAACAAACTAACTCACAATGTGAACAACATAATATCTCTAAGTTATACCAAACTCCCAACAATAGTGTGAGATAGCATAGGGTCGAACAATATAGTGTAGGGCCAGGTTCTAATACCATGATAAATATTATCAAAGAGACAAGAAAGATTAGAGCAGTCAGTCCCTGCTTAACATAACTGATTTGATTCGTTTTATCATTCCAATGATGACCGCTCACTGACCACTCTCTAATGGCTCTAATGGTCCCTTGTGAATTTCAATTTTCTTGAGTTCTAAGACTACTCTAATTACAGGGTTCAAAAATAGGGCAAGCCTCTTTCAGCTTAGGGAAACTCTCCAAAGCTTAAATTCTACCTCTTACATCATATATAGAGCCAAGAACAAACTCTAAATTCTTAAGATCCAAAGGTCATTCTACTGTGATCTCAAACCTTCAAATCAAGAAGAAGAGAAGATCTAGTAGAGAACCACCAAGCCCACATCAGATTACGTGTATACCAAGAATCTTAGGAAGGAATCCTTGAAGATTACTCGAGACCTAGATGGATCGTCACGTTCAATTTGTCCATGCTATTGCTCAAGACCTCATAGTGTGGTAATCCAGAGCGTTAGATTCAAGGAAAAAAGCATCTTGTCATGGTTTATTGGTTGAGGTATAAGTTTTTGACCTTGCAATCAACTTTGAGAATAGTATATTAAATTTAGGTGAACCGAGATTGGTCCGTGGTTTTTCCTAAGAGGATTTCCACATTAAAATTGCTTGTGTTGTGAATTGTTGTTTGTTGCTTTAATTTAGCATGTGCGCGCACACACACTCATCATGTGTTTGATGAATTGATTATTTAATTGCTCTATCTAATGTCATCATAAATTTGGTTGAATCAGTGGTTGGTCTTGTTGGAGGGATAAGGATGATGGATTGTATTAGTGATTGAGATTAGCATCCACATTCATTGAGGGGTTTGTTCAATTGAAAAAGGGGTTCATTAAGCTTTAATTGACAAATTAATTGGCTAATTGGTAATTGTGATAATAGGTCTTAAAATTGGTGTAGGTTTAAACGGGAAGTTCCAAAGACCTATTCAACCCCTCTAGGTCGTACTAGTGTAGTTCCATGAGTATAATCGTGATGGACAGATCCAAGTACACTTCCCCCAACGACTAAACTACCCCTAATATTAAATATACTAGGCTATTCTAACATTACCAGCTTCTACCTCTGCATCATGATCCATTACCATAATTGGCAAGCGTCTACATCTGGTGGTAATATCATCTTTACTCTAGTTTTCTTTCTTATCCATACCATTGATTAAGCGATAAAGAAACAGGTCATAGTCTTATTTTTTTGTCCCTTTGTGAGGACAAATATATAATGCGACCCATAATTCAATAATAATAAAGCTATCCCCTGGCTGTCTCTGTAATGATACAAAAACCTTTAAATTTTGTGTTATGATAGAAAAACCCCTTCCGAGATTGATAAAGATTAACTTCATTTCATGTAAAATATCATTCTTCACATCAAAGAGGCAAAGCTTTCCTGAATCTAAATCTAAAACACATCTCAAACAGTTCATTTTTCACAATATACTTGATTACAGACCTCATATTCCTATTAAAGCGAAAAAAATAAGACAAATAAAATACAAAATGTTTCCTTGCAGATACTCAAAAAAAGCTCAATCTGTGAGCCATCTACCACAAACCTTTCTATCTATTATAAGTAATGGGAAAATGGAAGTTTTGGGTCCATGCCTATTTCACACATGAAAGTCACTTCAAAACAAAATATGTCGATTCCTCCCCTCAAAAAATGTGGGCATGGACAATATATTTGAATTGTAGTTATGTGTTAAGAAATAGTTCACGTGATCGAGGCATATATATGACAGGTCAACACAGGGTATGCTTACCATTTCACTCTTCTGAAAACAAAAGAATCGTGAGTTGATGTCTCCAAAGAATATAGGTTCGATGTATTCTAATATCATTCCCCATAGTGGACTCCACAATATCGATCAATTATTGAAGCATGTTTGACATTGGACCCACAACAGAGATGCAAAAGCAAAAAAGTTTGAGCCATCCATGTATTACTCTTATTGATAGTATGGTATATCTTAAGTTGTTATAATGTGTCACACTGTCACTTGATCTTGTAGGCCAGACAAATAGGCCTACTGATAGAAAATTAAGATAAATGCTGAAATGGAATGATATAACTGAGCAAATGTCTACAAAAGCCTTGAGAACTCTCTTTTTTACACTACGTTTTGTCTATCCTAGTTTTCTAGCCACTCTTTCTCTCCCACAAGAAACTATACAAAAGAGCCTCGAGTATACTTTTTTCATCTCTACTTTTTCAGTTCTAATGTTCTCATCTCTCATCCCCCCAATCTTCTGCGTCTTGTTATCTTTTCTATTTCTCTCTAATATGATTGAGATTCTAGGAAACCATGTTACGGTTGGCGCCCTCCCTTCCTCATCTTCAATTCTTTTTCAATCATACCCTCTCCTTGCTTGCTCATCTTATTCTTTGCAATTTCCTCAGAAATTTTTCTATTTTCTCTAGGTCTCTCAATAATGTTAAAGTTGCATCGGTTTTTATTTGTTCCTTTTCTTTTCTTATTTCTTAATTATGGATACATTTTGTTCTTCGTAGAACCTTAGCTAAAGACTGAAGTCATGCCAAAATTCAGTATCGAGAATTCTTTAGAATTAATTATTAACCTTGGGTACTTGGATCTGATCGTTTGTTTTCTCCCGTGTGAATTACTTTAAACTTTTTGTTACTCCTTTTTAAGCAACATTACAAGTTTTCTTCTCAATTTTTTCATTGATAAGTGTAGAATCGTTTGTTTTCTCATGTGCAATATTTTTGCAATGAGTTGACAGAATTTCATATTTGCGCAATTTGTTCAGAAGGGTTTTCAACAAGTGTAGAATCAATATCTCACATGCTTTTTCCTTAACAGTAATTGGCTATAATAAAAAGGAATAAAACCAAACACTAGACAAATTGTGTTTTTCATACTCAGAACATGTTGATTAGTTGACCAAACCAGCTTAGGCTTCAAAAAGTGTTCAAGGGAAAACAAAGTCAACAAACTATGGACCTAAATCCCTTAAATGATACATTCTGTTTTAAAATTTTGTCATTGTTTGAAGAAATTCTCGTCAAATTCATATTGTGTAGTCTACTTATATAGGCATATGATAAAGTAAATGCAATTCAACATCCCAAGGATCTGACCTTCCTGTGAATACATGTTCTCTTAAACCAAGAATTGTAGGAGGTCGCCGTCCTTGATGCCTCAGAAATTCTTGCAAGATATTTCTCATTTTCAAAGCTTCCTCCATATAATTATCCTGCGAGAGACAAGGTATAAATAAAAAATGCATAAGATTTCTTAATTTTATTTTTCAAGAAAGGTTTAAGGCTGAGCATACTTGGTTCATATCAATTGCTTGGAGAGCTTCACCACGTGTGAATATAATGGCATGATTTTGATTTTCAGGTTTCCCTTCTCCAATATTTGGTGGACCTGGGAGCTTTATGCGGTATACCTCCTATAACGTAGCAGATAAACAAAAACAAGGACATCTGAATATCCAAAGTTATAAAGAAAGAATAGACTTAGCTCAAATAACTGGATATGGATAATCGATTACTCAGTATGCTACGAAGCCTACAATTCATAGAGGATGAAAGCATGCAGTTCACAGATGCAGATCATTACTTGGCTTATAGGCTATGAAGCACGGATACTTCATTGAGGCCAGCGTATCCATATCGGATACGATACTAGTTGGATACTCCAGGATACGTATCGGATATACCTCTTACGTATCCGATAATAATTAAATATTATGATACTTCACGGATACTTTTGTGTTCAAGCAATATATATAATTTTTTTGTTGAATTTTTAACATTTCCTTTCGAATTCACATACAATATAATACATTTACAAAAATTCATATTACTTCTAAGACACATGAGTATTTTTTAAGTATTATCTACAATTACATGTCAAAAATGCATAAGATAAATCTATTACATTATAATCTTAGCAAAAATTACTTCTAAATAAACCGACTCAGTAAATATTAGCTTTGATTCTTTTAATTAATCACTTCACTTTGTGAATATATCACAGTGATATGATATATATTTTCTTCAAACTAAAAAGAATTACTAATTTTCCTTATTGTGTTAAAGAACTACAAAAATATATAAGTATTATGCTAATTGAAAATAATAAAAAATATTAAATTTTTTTTATTATAACCGTATCTTGACCGTACCCGTATCCTTCTTTTTTAGATTTTGTCGTATCACCATATTCATATCGCATCATACCCGTATCATTATCCGTGCTTCAAAGCTTATAGGGCATAATGCATTGTTTGTTAATCACAATAGCTTATAGAAATACAACCAATTATTAACATTTTATTATCGTTAAATTTATTTCTATGGCATGATCTAACATTCTATTAATCGCTGTATATCGACAATTCTGCAAACCCCTCCTAGGGAGTTTTTTATTAAGCATATTTACCAGTTTGAAATGTGATCATGGGGAAGTCCTTAAAGGATGGTCAATTGACAAGAAAAAAGATCAAATCAATTCCCATCATTGAAAGCTGTCACTACTAGGGAGTTTTTAAAACCACATAAGAAGCATCAGCAAGTTACTTAACTTTGAATTCTGGTTTCTGCTACGGTTCCTATTTGAAAGAAAAAAATGATCCATTCGAAAGAAAGATGTGATTGAGAATCTTGAAATGAAACTTTATACGGAGGAGACTTTCTAGAAATTATATTTTAAAAAGCCTTCTTTCTATAACTTTTGTATCTTTGTATCTGTATATGTAATATGTTGAAGTTTGCTTGTATATAAATTACATTTTCACAATCTAATTTCTATGTAGAGTTAGATTCTATCAAACTCCTCGTGGTTTTGTCCCTATTTTGTTGATCTTAACCCAGGACATTTGCCAATGTTCAATAACTTATCAGGATTGAATTATCCACATTTGCACCATGCCACCATCTGAAAAGAGCAAATCAATATTATCCATCTGTTAAAAAAGGAAAAGCGAACAGATACGAAACAATGGACTCATGAAAAGGAAATTACTGCATTTTGCAGTTAAGGTTTTTCGAGATACATTGTATCATAAGTAGTGCAATTACAAACACGGACGTAAGACTCTCATATTACCCTCTTTTTAATTTTATTTGGTTCATTTTAAAATGAGGCATTTATTTGAATGTTCTTTGTTCCTTTACAACGTGTTTGTATATAGTCCATAAAACAAGAATTTTTCACAAATCAGTTTCTAATCTATTATTATCGGTGGCTGCAATAAATTAGACCTTCCCAGTACCTGGTCAAAACCATTGACGGCTTTAACTAAAATGGATGAATAAACCTTCCCAGGCTTATCTGCAACAATCTCTTCTTTCTCCTCAACATAAGCAACACGCAAAGAGGGGTACCTTTGAGCAACAGTTCCATAAACAGAATTAAGATGCACCCATAATTTTTTAATTGAGATAATTTCTGTATTTTTTTAACCAAAAAAAGCATAAAGTAAAAGGAATACCTTATCATCAAATCTAGTATGTCTTGGGCCTGGGGGTCTCCAGATGATTTTTGTGATCCAAATATCTGACAAGAAATGACATGAGTAAATTTCATGTCTGCCAACGCGTCGAGTTGAGCTGATAATGTATCATTCCTCCTTTCAATGACATCATACCCTTGAAGAATATCTGGATGAAGTGATTAACAGATCAAACCACATGAAAAAGGATTTCACTCAGATTGGGCTCTCACTGTAATCATCGCATCAATTGTGCTATTGTAAAGAAGACATTCTTGAATAGTGGTATCTTTACTGGAAAGTCTAAAATAATCCCATAAATTAACAAACCATCATCTTCAGCCATATCAAGAAACGCTTGTAATTTCAAGGCTTTCCTGTAGTACATCATTCCTCGGACTGTTGAAACAAAGGGAAACCAAAAATGATGGTTATATTGAGGATGACCACATTAATCTTATGTTATATGACAAAAACCAATTTCGAATAACATATTAGATTCTTGCCCCGGACCTGTTCTGCTTAAAGTTTGCCCCCGGAAAGAAGCCCAATTCCTAAGATCTTCCTCCTTGAATTCATCATTTGATCCATCTAGTTTTTCATCCTCCATTCTTTCCAAAAAGTTTTGCCATTCATCTGGAAATAAATTAGCGAGAGCAAACAGTTGAATGCTAAGAGTTGACTTGGGGTGGATGGAATAGAACATTTACTCAACTAACATAACCCCTACATCATAGCAACCTGGATATATCTTCTGCATATAGAAGCTAATGGGAACGCCTTCTTGGCTGGAATGAAGCTCCTTTGTTGAAAATTTAACTTCTTCCATAAAATGTGGAGTCAAAACACTGTAATCAAAAGAAAGTCTGCAGTGTCAGGGCAATATACAGTTTTCAATTATTTCTCTACTTAACTTGACAATTACAATGCACTCCTCTTATATAACTTTACACTAGTATTGACTTTGAGCATTCCTCTTGTCAAATTGATTGTGAACAACTTCAGAATCACCATCAAGAAGCTTTCAGAGCACACATACACATGCACAGTGCCATCATCCCTCTAGTACATAACAGTTTTGATACAAGATAGGGCCATTTTATGGAAATAAAAATTGAATCCTTTCTTCTCTTCTTTCCCTTTCTCTCTCGGGAAAGAGAAAGAGAAGATCTGACCTGAATGACAACATGTTGCGCACTTTTGGAGCACTGGGCATATCCATAAAGAGAGAAGTGGTAAAAAATGAAATACGCCTCTGAGCCTCCAAGTTTGAAGGTATGTCCAATGCTGTATCTTTGACAGTAAGCAGCAAAAGAAAACGCTTGATCTGACATCCAAAAAATGGATCAGTACTATGATACGCACTACGTTTGTGTGCATGTGTAACTCTTGTACACATAGCAGTCAAAGCCCCTGCAACCACAATTTTAGTAATAGGAGGAAAACATCATAAACACAAGTAACCAGAAGCACCTTGTCAACCAGGGGGCCACTATCTGGCAACGGAAAATGGATAGAATGCTTTGATGCAAATAATTGGGGTTCAATCTCGCCGAAAAACTCAGTTGCATCCTCCTCTATTTGTTGGTGAGAGTAAAGAGAATCCAATGTTCTGTGTATATCGAAAAAAAATTTAAAGAAGAAGAGATGTTGAACTGATTAGTTAAAGAGATAAGATTCCAAATGTACCCAACCTGGAACCATTTAGCACCATATCATTCGTTACAAGCTCAAAAATATCCTGGAGTGCTTTCACAACTTTATCACGGTTGCTTTCATTTCCCTCAACCTTCAAAACAAAATATAATGTGACTATGGCTGTAAAGAACTGGATGACCAAAATACATACTCTTAAATAAAACTAAGTATAGCAAACACAACATTTACCAGTAGGTCAACTAATTCAACACATCTAGCATGCAGAGCAGGTAGTTCGCTCATCTTTAACTCCTCAACAAGGCTTGATCTTGCAATGATCTCCTCAATCTCACCGAATATGCCAGAAATAATCCTGGAAAGTAGAACCAACATAGGATGAGCAAAATGTTGGGAGCTACAGTTGAAAAGCAGTCATCAGAAAATGGATAGAATCTTCCTTTCAATAACATAGGTGAGAGAGTAATTTTATCAAAACCTAGCGGTTTGGGGGAACTATAGATTTATCAGTAACATTATGATGCAGTAGTCTACCTTCTCTCCAGATCACCCACAACAAGTATGTCAAGGATATATTTCAATGATTCATAGCACTCAGTCACAGCCAAGTACATGTGGGTATCTTGTGTAATCATTCTGCAAAGGCTGGCATCCTTTCCCACAAAATCTCTTGCAATGTTCAACGCCGTCGCAAGCTGTAATGAATGAAAAGACATATATATGGATATGAATAACAACCAGCATTATATGATTTCAAAAAGTTTGAGTATCTCCACACCTTATTTGTCAGAAGGAAAACAGGCCAATGAACCTGGCCAGAAAATAATTCTGGTGACGAAGGTATTTTCATGAGATCCATCTCCCTGCTCTTAATAAAATAGAATTCCATTAGGTTTCTACTAAGGTATGGCATGTTCAAAGAAAAAAATAGAAAAAAGGTATTCAACCTGTTGCTTATCAAGTCCTCTTCCCGGAAGCTACAAATAATTTGGTTCCACACGAGAACAAATTTCACGACACTGTTCTTCTCATTTTCTGACGCCTAAAACAAGATCATCTACGTGAATACAGCAGAAATGAAGCAAAAGATCTTCGAAAGATTTATCACGTACAACAACCGAACCTTCTGAAACCTCTGGTGGAGATACCATTTTCTGTTTTGGTCCTTTTCAGTTTTGGATGAGGGTGGGATAAGGCAAGCACTGAATGCAGAGGGCAATGACTGGAATGTACTTCTCACCATGCCTAATGTCCGAATCTATACAGAACAAGATGAGTGAGGCCACTATCATAACACTTTAAAGTAATGAAATAGCTTACCTCACCAAGATGGTGTAGAATTCCATAAACTCCACCAAAGACTGAACAGTAAACAGAGTACCATATTTGTGTGTCCATGAAATATATCTGAAAAACAATACCATATTTGTATGTCAAAACACAGAAACTCGTGCTAAAGAAAAGTTTTGATCAGAGGAAATTACTATATGTTGACCCAAGGCGTTCTAATTCAGCTTTACTAAACTGCATGTGCTACAAATATATGGAAGGTGTACAGACAAGGACTGATTCTGGTGCTTCTTGAGATACTCACAAGTATTATGGGAGCCCAAATAGCCGCGATTGCACCAGCATTACTCCTGACTGAAAACAAAATGTCAGAAAATGTATACAGAAAATAGTTTAATCCATTCTCTAGGCACAAAACTATTTAAATTAAAATATAAAGATCATCACACCTTTGGGGAAAAGCTCATGCCAGTCATAATTCTTAACCCCAATTTTCATGATTTTTCTTGTTGGTGCTATGAGTGGTTTTATCTGCATGTTTCACACCAAGAATCAATAGTTTGCCCACATGTGGACATTTCTTGAAAACTATAACAATTAGAAGATATGATATCCTTACTGGATCTCATAAACCCACCTAATGAGCATCATCTTGTGTAAATACAGTTTTTTATAATGCAACCAATGACCAATAATATGTTCATCGTCTACCATGTTTTTCTTCTCTTTCTCTACCAAGTTCACGAAATGAACTGAGGAAAAGTGACCTAATCCCCTCTCCACCCCCCCCCCCCTCCCCAAAAAAAAAAATGTAAAGATGAAAAAAGGAAAAGAAACCAGAGCATATGATATTTCCTAGCATATACTGAAACTTTGCTTCAATGATGTCACGTGACATACTGTTGTCAAAAGAACTTTGGGGGATAAACAGAAACGAATCTGACTGATGCATAAGATCTATGGAATCAGCAAACAGGTATACCACACAAGATTCAAAGTGTTTAGTCATGTTCAAGTTAACTAGAAATTGGTTGTTGTCTTCTGGCCATTGGAGCGAGGCATGAAGTGACATGCAGTAACAGTAATGTGAACTATCTCATTTAAGAGATAAGCTAGTCATGTGAAAAGATAATCAACACCAAAATCACTCACTTCAAAGTTGTAGGTAAAAGTAAGTTTGCTTGACAATAACAGCAACCAAAACAATGTGTACCTACAAGCAACACCAGCAGATTGAAAGAAAAAAATTACAACAGCAGGGATACATACCTCAAGAGAGGTTCCCCAAAGAAAACAACCAAGGGAACAAGAAAGATTTAGAAGAGAGTTATAGAAAATACTTTAGGAGGGGCACTTGGCTTTCCTGCATGCCTCTTCCAATGTATAACCTAGGCTACATAACGCCAAGATATGCATGAAGAAATAGTAAGAGAATTTGGAATTAAAACCTAAGAAAAACTTATGTAACAAATACACACGTACCATTACCATGACAAAAAGCAACTCCAGTTGAAAAAAATGAAATGCAATTGAAGTAAAATAGAACATATCACATCTAACTCAAACTAAAAATATCATTACGTAAGTAACAATTTTTTGTTATTATGGTGACCCTATCTCACATCAATTTGTGCCGTGTGAAATGTGTTATAAGTGTGAGCTTTGGACTTCCATTGTATAACAAGTTTTATAGTCATGCCAACCTAGATCAAAGTAGACAATAGGGTAAAATTTGGTTACGATTAGAATTAGAGTCATTGACTATCACCGTGTAGAGGCCACATAGATTGTGTTCCCAGGTTCGGCAGGGTGGTGAATTGGGGCGAGATGACAGCTAGCATGATGGGAGCCATCCTCTGGAATATTGGGTCCCACTAGAGGACGTGTGTTTCAAAGGGGTTAGATTCTGCTGACACAATCCCACAACACTCGGTGAAGTGTGTAAGTTTTGGAGCATCATTGAACAATGCATTTTAAAGCTGTATGGATCATATTGTATAATGCAGGTCTGAGATGCTATAACTTAGTTTCCATCTCTATGCATTGAGATAGAAGGAATCATTCAAGGTATAGCATAGATACTTGACAAACACACATATTGGCATGCCGAACAACAAATGAGCTATGCTAAGAAACTTTGGTCAAACAAGAAATATGTCTGAATCTCCCTTGGGCAACCTTTTCAGATATTGGTCCGACAAGGATTGTGCTCAACAAAAGCATCATGCATTCATGTCCATTTCTTATCCTAGTAGTTAATGCCATTTTCCATTTGTTAGTTCCAAACTATGCCCAGTTGTAGGTTCCCAGACTTTCCCAGAAATTGATGGAAAACCATCCAAGAAAACAATAGCTTATAGGAGATTGTTCAGGTTATGAACACTCAATGATGCCCTGGATTTCAAATCACAACATAAATATTGGCTGATGTTGGTCAAAAGGATTAAAAGAGGTTATAACCTATATAACGAATTATACCTGTGTCCACCAAGACAGAATAGAGCATATTCGCCAATTTGACGTCTCAATGTATCTGCCAATAACAGGTACAAGAAACAGTACCATGTCGACAGCATTAGTCATCAAGTAAAATGCAACTGCGACCATATAGGAAGAATAACACCATTCTCCAAGCCAGCTCCCATATTGTGTGGAATAGCAAGTATATTTTCTTCGAAAGCCAGAATAGAATACTGGGAGAACAATAGTCCATATAATTGCAACAACCACCTTGAGCGTTCGTTTTAGTTTTTGAGAGAAGTCCATTGTGCATCTAGCTTTCCATGTAAAGGCAACATCAAGAACAGCTGCAAGACCAGAAATTTTTTAGACTCCTGTTATGTATGTGTTAAAGAAGGAAGCAAGAAATGTTGTTTTCACTATAAGTAACCTTGGACTACCCCTGAAGGAATGAAAACCTGACCTTCTAGAGACAAATTAAGTAGAAAGCCCACATACCTAATTGCAGTTGGCACTATTTTTTCTAAAAGACATCAGCTGTAAAGAGTTGACCTTATCAGAGCGGAAGTTAATGACAAGCATTTCCTGTGCGCTAAGATAGTGGTGCATATTGAAGTATAAATACTTAAGTTACACCATTTCTAATATTTTAAGCTGTTAGAGTAGATGGTTGTTTAACATGGTATCAAGGCAAGAGGTCCTGTGTTCGAATCTCTACTAACTTTGATCAATCATAGAAAACTAAGAGAAAGAAGAAGAGAATATTATTGAGGCACAATAAGCCAGAACAACCTTAAAAAAAAACTACATATAAGAAGTTTTTATATAGTAGGGCAAAAGGAAAACAAACAGATTAAGTTAGGTCAACATAAAAGAAAATAAATAATTAAACTACCCCTAAGTCTAAATATGCTAACTACTCTAACACCCTCCTTCAAACTCTTGATGTGGTAGCATCAAGAATTTGCTAAGAAGAAAACCAGAAGCGCGTGAAGGTGTGAGATTTTGTAAAAAAACGATCAGCAAGTAGCCAACGCAACTAAACTATCTCTGCTGTTGTGAAGGTCATAGCATTATACTCAGCTTCAGCAGATGATCGAACCACAATAGTTTGTTTCTTATTTTTTCACAAAATCAGAGAATCACCAAGGAAGAGACAGAAACTAATAGTGCGATCGATAGAGTCACCAATCCAGTCCGCATTAGAGTAAACATGAAGTTCTAGAGACTTAGAGGAAGGAAATAATAAACTCAACAAAAACTCCAAGTGTAGGCTCAACAAATTAAGACCCAAATATCAAGAGGGGTCCAACAGAAAACCAAAGCCCAACAAAAACCACCAGTAACAATGTCCAACAAAACAAAGCCCAACAAAGAAGAGAATAAAAGTCAAACCAGCAGTCCAACAGAAAGAAGTTCAAATCAACAAACCCAAAGGATTGGGATTGCCTAACAAAAACCGCCAGCAACAATGCCCAATAAAACAAAACCCAACAAAAAAGAGAAGAAAAGCCAAACTAGAAGCCCGACTCAACAAATCCAAAGGATTGGGGTTCTCCAACAAAACCATCAGCAACAATACTCAACAAAACAAAGCCCAACAAAGAAAAGAAGAAAAGTCAAACCAACAACCCAACAGCGAGAAGCTCAAATCAACACCAACCCAAATCAACAAACCCAAAGGATTAGGGTTGCCCAACAAAAACCACTAGTAACAACTAGTTCAGCAAGGAAGATCCACCAACAAGAAGCACCCGTAGAAAAGAAGAGGCAGCAAAACCAACAACCAGAACTATCAACGAAGGCACAGAAACAGCAAATCGACACATTGGGGAGCACAAATCCAATCACAAAACAGAAAGAAGAAGACACCAATGAAGCCAAGAGAGACCTCCCCAGAGCAGAAACCAACCAGCAGAAGCCAAGAGCAAAAACTACAACCAAAAGAAGCAGTCAACGCCAAACAATTCAAAGTTCTTCACAAATCAACTCAACAACTTTGCAAATTAAATAACCATAATAAATGGAGGTTTTTTACACAACAGTACTACAAAAATGATACTAAAAATTAAAATTTGGCACTGTTCACAGCATGAACAGTAGTTCGGTACTGTTCACAGCATGCACAGTAGTTTTGGCACTGTTCACAATACGTGAACAGTAATTTCGGTACTGTTCAAATTCCTTAGAACCGTATTTTCAGTACTATTCACATCCCTTAAAACCATGTTAGCTCTGATACCATATTAACTTTGATCAATCATAGAAAAGTAAGAGAAAGAAGAAGAGAATATTATTGAGGCACAATAAGCCAGAACAACCTTAAAGAAAAACTACATATAAGAAGTCGTTATATAGTAGAGCAAAAGGAAAACAAACAAACTAAGTTAGAGAAACATAAAAGAAAACAAATGACTAAGTTACCCCTAAATCTAAATATGTTAACTACTCTAACAACTACCACCCTAATTATTAAAATATTCCCACATGCTAGGCTCAAAATCTAATCTGTATGTAAGAGGGCGTGTTGAAATATAAATACTTAAGTTACACCATCTAATAGCTTAAGCTTTGAGAGTAGATAGTTGTTTAATAGTGCAACATATCCACTTCATAGCTAGTTGGCATCGAATCAAGTGTAGCAAGCCACAAAACCATTATCTATGATAATGAATACCAGAATGATAGATTAATGCTCACAAGATGAACTGTTTTTCCGTGCAACTCCACTACTTGAAACGCACCACACTGGTTGTTGCATTTGACAAGCTTTACAAAAGATAACCAAATCATTGAAACATAGAAATGCTTTACACTCAACAAGATACCAAAAGGACACGTTGTCGTGCAGATAAACCACCTATCACAAAAACTACAAACTTTCTGCCACACGAAGGCTTTCAGATCTTCTAAATACATCAAATGACACAAGAACAGCAAAGCATACTGCATATGACTAGTTTAGCAGTAGACACAGACATAAAGCACTTCTATTATTTCATTAATATCTTTTATGATGGTGATTTTTCTAAATTTTTTGAAGTCATTGGAGTTGTCTTTCTGATATTTGAATGTTTTTCGGAATTTATGGGTCTTATTTTGCATTTGGCACAGATTGCGACCATTCCAATTCTTCTAACACAACCTATAGGTGCTGACTAAGGATCCTAGGAACTTTGGTTAAGTTTTGTGCAGATTTCATTGGTATTGTGTGGTTTTTTGGAGCTCGGCAATGTCTGGTGACCTTATAGGGTCTCGACTAAGACTTTTTTTTGGCCCACTGGTTTGGGTTTTGTGGTATTTTGAGGATTGTGGCTTCTGTGAAGGGTTTTTTGATATTGCTAGTTGGTGTTTTTGTTTTTTGGTATTGTCAGTTGTTTTTTTGGTTCCGTTTGTGCTAGGTTAGTCCCAAAATTTCCATTAAGTAGTTTTGCTTTGTAAGAAAGGCTCTTCAGTATAGAATTTACTGGTACTGGGAAAGGAGAGTTGAGTCGTGTAGGGACTCTTGAATGTAATCCTTCTCTTTAAATCAATCCAGTAAAATTAGATATGAGTAACTGTTTAACCTAGTCTCGATCTGGCCCGTTCTATTATCAGGCAAGTGGATTAAATGGATGCTTGACACAAGCAAGTAAGAAACTCAAATCTGAACCTGATCTTAGACAGTGAAACTCAGATAACTCATTGGTAATAACATAGTTACTCAACTCGATGCAGTCTCATATAAAACGTGGTTTTCTGTTTCTTGAGATAGTCTGTGAGATTTAGTCAGCTGTGGCCTTGACATACTCATAGGTCGGGAATAATACCTAAATTTATGGGCTTCGAAAGAAGATTCATGAAACCAAACAGAGGGACATGAGAGATATGACTATTGCAGAGTATTACATAGGATTGAGTAGTTTATGGCAGGAACTAGATTATTTCCAAGATTTTTAAGCATATTGTGCTAAAGATCTTAGAAATGGATAGAGAAGGAACGAGTATAAGATTTTCCCCAAGGTCTCAATATAGAGTATGATCAAATCCGCATACAGGTTTTGGATAGAGCTCATTTTTCTTCTTTGAGGCAGGCATATGTTTATGTGCAATAGGAGGATAATAAGATGAGTGTCATGCTTCAGAACCCTGCTCATAATCGATCTGCTCTAGCAGTTGTTCCACAAAGATAAAACATATCCTTTCGGCCTTGTGATAATGGTAAAAATGGGAGCTTTGAAAAGGATCTATTAAAATGTGATTATTGTAGTAAGACGAGACACACTAAAGACCATTGTTGGAAGCTACACAGTCGTCCTTCTAGAGGTCGTGTTGGTAATAGGACTAGTCCTTTGCACTTGCATGCCCATATGATTGAGATTGTTGATCTTACTCTTAAATATCATCAAATTAGGAGAAGAGATAAAAGAGAGAAAATAGAGAATGATTGCATTACAGCTTAATAGAAAAATGCATACAAGAGGCCCTTATATAGTAGGGAGACTAAATATTCTAACTACTCTTACACGCTTCCTCAAACTCATGATGTGGTAGAAGAAAATATCAAAAGTTTGCTAAGGACAAAGTGAGCAATAGTATGGGATTTTGTGAAAAAATCTGCTAACTGCATAGTAGAAGAAAGAAAAGGGCGGGAAATAGTGTCCAGTTGAAGATGATGACTCACAAAGTGACAATAAATCTCAATATGCTTTGTGTGCTCATGAAAGACTGAGTTATGAGCAATCTGAATAACACTGATATTATTACAATACATAGGAGTCGGTGCAGACAACATGATGCCAAGATCAGCAAGGAGTCATCGTAACCAAAATATCTTAACTACAGTAGATGTTATAGCACGATATTCAATTTTAGCAGATGAACGAGAAATAACAGTTTGCTTCTTGCTTTTCCAAGAAATAAGAGAATCACCGAGGAAATTACAAAAACCCGTACTGGACTTACGGTCCATAGAGTTACCAGCACAGTCAGCATCAGAATAAGCTATAAGTTCCATAAAGGAAGAGGAGGAGAATAACAAACTTTGGTACAGAGTACCTCGAAGATATCGAAGAATACGCAAAACCGCAGCCTAATGAATAGTGGTAGAGGAGGCAACAAATTGACTAACAACATGAACAGCATAGGAGATATCCGGACGAGTGACTGTAAGATATACTAAACTCCCAACAATAACGCGATAAAGCGTAGGATCAGATAGGGGAGTACCATCAGCAAATGAATAACGAACATTAAGCTCTAAAGGTGTTTCAACTGTCCGATTATCTGATAAACGAGCTCATTGAATAATATCTAAAACATAATTGGAATGAGAGAAAAGATATTCTTTAGGAGAAGAAGCAATCTCAATACCCAAGAAATATCTAAGCTGCCCTAAATCTTTCATCTCAAAAATGATCCTGTAACTGGGTTTTCAATAAGCATATGCCAGCAGTGTCATCACTCATAATAATTATATCATCAACATATAGTAAGAGAATAATAGAATCTAAAGAAATAGACCGTAAAAAAAGAGTAGAATCATGGTCACTGGTACAAAAACCCAAGTCACAAATAACTGAAGAAAATTTGGCAAACCATGC